TAGATAGATTCCTTGCCCTGCATGGCTTAGCAAGAGGCAAAGTAAGGGGAGTCTTTAGAGATAAAAAAAATGACAAAGTGAGACTCTATAGGGGTTAGGAAATTCTAAAGCCTAGCATTTGTGTGAGGGTCTCGGCCAATCTCTCTCTGTTTTTCTAGAGTGTATGTTTTAATAGATAGTGAGTGCATGTGGGATAGAAGACACAGTATGGGACCCTAATGACCTAATATACGATATTGATCAACTTTAAATTTATTAAGATGAATATGTGAGCTATGATTTCTAAAGTCTCTGACAGAATTGAAACAAAGTCTATAACTTCCAAACTAGTAATGTGAGAAAGTAAATGAGAGGGGGGAAAATCAAATAAAAGAAGGCAAGAAAGAAAGGTAGAAAACTAAACAAATATAAAGCAAAAACTAAAATGATGTAAATGAATCCAATATAACAATAATCACAATCTACATAAATGATTTATACTCTGCAGTTCAAAATAAAAGATTTCTAGACTAGATTTTTAAAATTCAATTTTAAAATATTTATAAGAGAAACCCCTAAAAACGTAAGGACAAAGAAAGACTTCAACTAAAATGATGTGTAAAGTCATACTGGGCCAATACTCTGCAGAAGGAAGCAGGGGTGGCTGTCTTGAATATCAGGAAAAACCAGACTTCAAGATAATGAGCATTCCCACAAATGAAGGGGATGACTACGTATTAATAAAGATGTTCAATTGACCAGGAAGATGCAATTCTAAATATGTGTGCTCCTTTGAAATGTGTTAAAAAGAAATCGTCGGAACTGTAAGAACAATTATCACATCCAAAATCACAGAGGGGCATTTTCACACATCTCTCTCAAAATTGATAGATCAAATAGATAATAAATCAGTAAGGAGTTAGAAGATTTGAAGAACACAATTAACAAGCTTGATCTAGTGGACATATGCAATATACGGAAAACACATTCTTTTCAACACATGGAACATTTATAAAAATGGATCAGACAAAGCCCATAGAGAAAAACCTCAACAAAATTCAAAGAATTTGTATCGTACAGCCCACATTCCCTAACAGTTAAATTAGAAATAATGAAAAATAATTAAGGAGACCCCATACTTTTGAAAATTGACAAACACATTTTAACACATGAATCAAAGAAAAAAGCTGAGAATTAGTAAATATTTAGAACTGAATAATCATGAAAATACTCATCTGAACTGTAGGATATAGATAGTAAAGCAGTATCAGAGGGAAGATTGTAGCCTTACTTCTTATGCTAGAGACAAAGAAGGTCTGTAAAGTAATAGACTGGGCATCCAACTCAGGAAGTTAGAGAAAAGAGAATAAACCCCCCAAAAAAGAAGGAAGGGAATAATAGAAATGAGTATAAATCAATGATAGAAAAACTACTATATAATAGAAAGTATTAAAAAAAAAAAACACCAAAATTGTGTTCTTTTTGTTGTTGTTCAAAAGACTAATACAGCTGACAAGCTGCTGGCAAGATTGATGAACAAAAAAAGAGAAAAGACACCAATAACCAATGTCAGGAACAAAAAAAATGGCATCCCTAGAGATAAGATGCTGCAGACATTTAACAAATATATATATATAGTGAGCACATGGTGCAATATACAGATCTTATAACATAGAAACCTACACCTGAAACCTATATGTTCATGTTGACCATTGCCACCCCAATAAATTTAATAAAAAAAGATAAAAACAGGATATTAACCACTTTATGATCATTTTGAATATTTAGTCAAAGCTCATAAATACCTAAAATATGTAACTCCCAAAGTTAATTCAAGAATACAAAACTTGAATCACCCAATAATCAAGATAATAGTGAATCATTAAATTTTTTACCAAAAAAAAATCAGACTTAGATGGTTTTGTAAGGAATTCTACAAAATAGCCAAGAAATGAATTGTTCTAATCTTATACAAACTATCCCGTGGTGTAGGAAAATAAAGGAACATGTGCCAATTTATGAATCAGAGATATCTTTGATGCTAAAAATGAATAGCTACAAACAGGAAGTGCAAAATTTTAAAAAATGTGTAATTTACAATTAGCAAAATGTAGAAACCATGGAGAAAAGAAAACTAACAAAAGGTATGCAAAACTGTATTACAAAACTGTAGAGACATTATAGAAAACTTAAACAGAAACACACCATTTTCATGAATAAGAAAACCGTATCCTAATCAAATATGTTAATTTTTCCACAATTGACATATAGATTAATATAATTACCCATCAAAATTCAAAAACGTTTTGTAATATTTTAAACTAGAGGCCTGGCGCATGAATTCGTGCATGGGTGGGGTCCCTTGGCCTGGCCAGCAATTGGGACCGGCCAGGGGGAGGGACTGTGGGAGGTTGGCCAGCCACGGAAGGTTGGCTGAGGGAGCACACTGACCACCAGGGGCAGCTCCTTCATTGAGTGTCTGTCCCCTGGTGGTCAGTGTGTATCATAGCTATTGTCCAGTTGTAAGGGTCGCTTAGGCTTTTATATATATAGATGATTCTAAACATTATCTGGAACAGCAAATGGTCAAGAATAGTATGGCACTTCTGAAGGAGAGGGAAGAGAAGAAACAAGGCTTAGAAAGCAACAGTAATGAAAGTTCTGTGGGATTGCCACAGGGAAAGACTAATAGACCAATGGAACAAAATTAGAAAGCCCCAAAATACACCCACACATATAAGGAAACTTGATATATTGTAAAATTGATATTGCAGATCAGTGTAGAAAAAAGATGTACTAAGTCAGTATATTCTGCTGGAACAAATGAAAAATAAAGCCTACTATATGCAAAAAATCAATTCCAATTTTAAATGGAAGAACTTATATTCTCTGATGTAATAAAACTTTTAAAGTTTTGTTTTTCATTTTTATTTATTAGGTTAAGGAGGATTTCTTAAGATGTAAAAAGTGAAAATCATGCATGAAAAGATTCATAAATTCAACTGCATTAAAAGTAAGAATATTCACCAGAGTAAAAAGAGCCACAAAATGGGAAATTATGGACATAATGCTAACAAAAGTTTAGTATCTAAAATACTGTATGTCAAGAACTACAAATGAATAAGAAAAGACAAATCAATTAAAAAATGGGCAAAGGCACAGATAGTTCACAAAAAACATAATTGACCAAATATATATATATACAACATATATATAAACATACCCAATCTCAACAATTTTTAAAATTAAAACCACCTTATAATTTTAAAAATTTAATTTTAAAAATTAAAACCACCTTATCTTTCCCTATGGCAATACCACAGAATTTTCATTACTGTTGCTTTCTAAAATTAAAACCATCTTATTAAATTATAAGATACTATTTCACACCAGTTAGCAAAAATTAGCTTGATAATACCAAGCGCTAGAGAGGATATGAAGCAAAAGAAAGACTCATATATTGACAGTGAAAGTATAAATAACAAAGGAAAACATTTTGAAATTGCATGATAAAATTAAACACACACATACCACATAACTCAGCAATTCCAGTCCTATATTTAGACCCTAGAGAATGCTGATAGCAGCATATAATAACAGAAAACTGAAAACAATGTAAATGCCCATTGTTAAGGAAATGGGTAAATAAATGAGATAGTACATCAATAAAAAATGAAAATACTACAGCTATATACAATAGCAAATTTTACATATGATTGAGCAAAAAAAGCAAGCCACAGAAATAATATCTGTAGTATATGGTTCAAAAGGCAGACATTTTTAAATTATATACACACACACACTCAACAAAATTAACACAGAAGCACGACAGGATAGTGATCACTGGAAGGAGGAAAGTGTCTACAGGTGGTGAGAATGGGACCCGGGGGTGGACATGGGCTCATGAAATAGGCTTTGAAGATAGTAGTAATATCTTTCTTGCATTGAATTATGTACTTTATAATACACATTTATGTTCTCTACAACCTTATGTGTGTATATTTCATAAAACAGTAAATAAACACAAAACCAGAGGCTAAACCACTACAATTGGAGTCCATAAAATGGACCCAGTGAATTCTGAAGGATGAATATGAGCTAGCAACAATTCGTTGAGGCTCCAATCCACCGCTGAAACAAGAGAAAAGCTTCACTTGAGTGAGAAGAAAGCTTCCAAGTAGGGCAGAGACTCCTGCTGGTGCCCTTGGAGGTTGCCAGGGAATTTCACGGAAAGTAAATTAATGATTTGAGAGGGAAAACTTGAGCAAAGGAGTGTTGACCTTCTTTTGTATCCAGGGAGGTACAGAATTTGCATCCTTGCAGATACAAAAAAAGACACTGTCGTTTCATTTATATAGAGATAGATAGATAGATAGATAGATAGATAGATAGATTGATTGATTTTTTTTTTTTTACAGCTTCAGCACGTGAGTGAGAAGAGGGCATAAGCCACCCAGAAGGAACTTGGGACTTTAGTATACATGTAGGCAGCCAAAGGAAGGCCAAGGAAATGGTGTATCACCTCCCCTGAAAACCTGAGGCATGCCAGATTCTATTCCAAGTTGCTACTTCCCTGAAGCGTTTTATAAATATGAAGACTTTGGTATCAGTTACTCTAACTGATATTAGGAATTTGATCCTTGGGTTAGCAATGTTTTCTAAATCCAGGCCCCTCTGGCTTTCCACTCTGCCATTGTTAGTGTTTGGGCTTCTTGTCTCAGGTAACTTCAAACTCCTCATCTACCTTTCATGTATCATTAGGGTTTTTGCCTGACTCTCTTGTCAGTAAAGACTTTCCTAGAACCTTCCTATGGCCTTCCACTCATATCCCAGTAGTCAGAATGGTGTCACATGGCCACTTAATTGCTGCAAGAGAGGCTGGGAAAGTATTTTGCCTTTGTGGCCTGGAGAGTAGGAGCAGGCAAGAATGAAGCAAAAAGGAGTGGCAGTGGTTTCTGATCAGCTATGCAGCAGTTTTTGTCAAAATCCTTCACTAAGAATTCGTCCTCTTTTCTCCCCAGGCGCCAGTCTACTTGACGACTTATATAAATATTTCTCCTTCCATCACTCCCGTGGAGACACCATGACCGCCATGGATCCAAAGCAGATGAATGTTGCTGCTGCTGTTTGGGCTGTTGTCTCTTACGTCGTTGCAGACATGGAAGAAATGCTGCCTAGGTCCTAGCAAGAACAAGAAATAGGGCAAGCACCTTGGCCCTTTCTAGCCAGGAGTCCAGGGTCTTCAGCTTCAGGAAGCCCTTCTTCACCTAACAATTTCATCTGATTCATTTTCAAAAAACACAGTTTTTCATGCTATTACTACCTTTTCTGATACTTTCCACATCCTCTGTTTATAAAATAAGGAATGATTCATAAAATCAATATATGGTAGGGATCACAGTGGAGGCATTTCTTTATACCACCTGTAAAACAATATTATTTCTGCTTTTAAAGTAGAATACTGGAACTAGAAATACTCTAATTTTTATAAGTGTATTTATGAACATTAAATCAGATATGTGACACTAATTTGTTTGTTATTTATTGAAGGATTAGAGGAATACACAATTGTAGTATGGTCTTAATGGAATGTATAGAGGCATTTGGCTTTCTAATTTGTATATTTACAAAGATATGGATTTTTTAATTAAGAGAAAAAAATGTCACCATTCAGGAAGAAAGTCAAGTATATATAGTCTCATTGCCTTATTAAAGAACAGTACTAGAGTTTGTCACCAGATAAATAATTACACTATGTTTTTGTTTTATATATTTTACACAATATTTTATGAAGTTGGGGCTTATTCACATTTGCTGATAAAAGTACTAAGGACCAGAGGGGCTAAATAATATTTACAGGATCCCATAGAGCAAAAATAGTGAGTCAAATCCACTCTGGGAACAACTGCTACTATTTTTTCACACACAATGCCCAATGCCCAGTATTCAATAAAAAATTACAAGACACACCAAAAAATGCAAATAAATAAGTAAAAAAACTCATTATCAAGGATTAAAGCAAGTAAGAGAACTAGACTAAGAGATAACCCAGATATTGGAACTATCAAAGTGGGACTTTAACATAACTATGATTAATATGTTAAAGATCTAGTGGGAAAAGTGGACAACATACATGAACAGAAAAATATTTTTAACAGAGATAAAAACTTCAAAATAGAGTCAAATACAAATACTTAAATAAAAAATACATCATCAGAGATGAAGAACTTCCTTATTGACTTATCAGCAGACTGGAAAAGACTGAGAAAAAAATTAATGAACTTGAAAATAGGCCAATAAAATTTATACAAACTAACACACTAGGAGAAAAAAGAGTGAAGAAAAACAAACACCAGAATGGATCACCCAAGATTTGTGAGCTAACATGTATGTTGGTCTAATAAACCTGTAACTGGATATCAAATGGTCTAATATACATGTAATTGAATTCCTAGAAGAAGACAGAGTATCAGTTTTATTAATGGTAATAATTACAATGATTGAAATACATAGGAAATTCTTTCATTTCTGGCAAGGTAGCAGACTAGTACTCTGAGCCTTATACTGAAACATGCTGGAAAGCATCTTTGAGAAACACTTTCTTAAATATATGAACTAACTGGTTAACAGGTAAAGAATATTAGACAAAAACTAAGTGAAGGCATGAAGAGAGATATGCAGAACATTAGCCATCTTTCTCTTTGAGGAAATTTGCAGAATGTGTCAAACCTAAATTCCATTTTCACAGCCTTTCAGGAATCAGGGGATGATAGACAAACCCCAGAGCTAGCCACATTAGTGATATTGGAGAGCCCCAATAAAATGGGGACCCCAAGCATTATACCTCAATAAATGGTGATCTAAAAATAAGTGGGCCACAAGGAAAATTACCATTAGTGAATAAGTGCCAAGTGGAGGATTCAAAGAAATTCCCACAGGTGAAGTTATAATAACTATATAACCACAGCCAAAAGTAAAAAACAAAACAAAAAGAATCATAGCATTCTGAGCAAGAGCAAACCAAATAAATAAATAATTGGAATTCACTCACAATGCCCTTCTGATGTTGGAATTTTAGATTAAGATTTTTTTAAACTATGTAAATTATGTTTAAGAAAGTAAAAGAATAGAGAGCAAAAGATTATAAAAATTGGCCAACCATATTATAAAAAGAATCAAATAAAACTTCTAGAAATGTAAACTAAAGTGACATTTAAAAATTAGAGAAACAGCTGAATGGCAGATGAGAGAATTCATAAAAACTAAAAGATAATAAATTAGTGATAATTTAGCACAGAATGAAAAAATAAGAAAAATCTCAATGAGACGTTAAAAAATATGAAAGGTAGAGATACATAATCGAATATATGTTTAGTCAGGATTCCAAAAAGAGAAAATATAAAAAAGAATTATCTGAAGAGCTAATAAATGAAAATTTTCCATAAATAATGAAACATATCAATCCACAGAATCAAGAAACCCAGTGAATTCCAAATGAAATAAATAAAAAGTCTACTATGACATATTACAGAGAAACTACAGTCTACAAAACACAAAGAGAAGATCTTTGAACCAAGAAAGGAGATGAATTAAAAGGAACAATAATTAATAATAGCTAACTCTAAATAACAGCAACAATGTAAGCCATTTTGTATTACCCACTCATCACCGCCACCACAATCGCTGATCACACCAGTTTTAAACTTCAGAGCAACTTTTAAAGAGAAAACCTGTCGCAAAGTTGTATTCTACTCTCAAATTCCCACCAGCTGGCAAAGTGTCATTTTCTCCACCACCAACTGCCTCCTGAGTCACTGCACCCACCTACCTAGTCCTTCCAGGAAACTGAATCCTTCCCCCAGCCCACCCCTCCCCCGCCCTTCTGCAGAGGGTTTGAGGTTGTATCCCCATTGCCTGTATCCGAGAGGTGGTTCTAAGGAAATGTATCCTGTTCCATTTCTTTGACTTTCCCCATAAGGTTGTCTATATATATGTAAAGGTCAAATAATAGCAGAAATGGCCCATTTCTTAACTGGGCTATTTACTGCTGCCTTACTGGAGGCATACGGAAGGGATGTGTGAGGAACAATGTCAGTATGAACCGGTGGAGGAGTGTGTTGGTGAGTGTGTCAGCAGCACGCACAGTAGGGGAGTAGTACATGGCAGCTGGGAAAAGAGGTGGAAGAAGAATTACAGAGAAAAGAAAGAAGTCTATACAGTTTTTTCTCGTGACAACTCCACCTGCACATCACACGTGCTTAGGTCTACCAGCCAGCTGTGGTGCCTGGCAACCTATAGGCATCTTTAAGCACAATTTCTTATTTTCCATAAATCGCTGTAAAAATAACTGTTTGTCTGCTAAGAAATGATGTCTCATTTGAGGGGTGGCCTATTTCCTGGGCTAGCAGTAGTTTTCCAATTTGACTTGAGGGTCAAGTTGCTTTTCTGATTCATTTGTCTGAGTAGCTTAAATGCAAATTGAGAAGAGAAACCCATTTGAATATCGTATAATGTGAAAAGGGTGAATTCTGTAACCGGAGAAAGAGGGAATTAGAAAGGAGGTCGATTGTTGATTTGTCCCTCACATTGTTTAGATGTGGTTTTGCGGGTTCTGATGTGTCTGTGAATGGTTTGGAGGTTACATTCCCCGAGCGTTCCACCTTCCTCACAATAATTGTGCAAGCGACACTGAGAGTGTATGGACAATCCTCATGTCTTACTGAGGAATTTTGTTGCTACGCAGACCTATTTGCTCAGTATGCACCCTTCATAATAATTTGAGATGCTTCCCATTTACCTTGAGTAAATATCAGCCAGATCGTGATATCTATATCTGTCTCATGAAATATACATCCTCTCTAACTGCGCCCAAATGATTAATTTACTGCTCTGTGATGATTAGCATAAAAATCTCATCACAACACGAGATAGAAATGTTATCACTAATTGCCATTTGAAGTGAAGAATGTTTTTTCGCATAGGAATTAATGATGCATGCTTACTTCTCAATTCTGTTAAACCAGAAAACCCAAAAGTGTTTCTGGAGCAGAAAGAAATTGCCTTTGAAGTTTTTTCTTTTTTCTTTTCTAACCCTTAGATCAGCTGTTCTCAACCTGTGGGTCGCGACCCCTTTGGCGGTCGAACGACCCTTTCACAGGGGTCACCTAAGACCATCCTGCATATCAGATATTTACCTTACGATTCATAACAGTAGCAACATTACAGTTATGAAGTAGCAACGAAAATAATTTTATGGTTGGGTCACAACATGAGGAACTGTATTTAAAGGGCCAGAAGGTTGAGAACCACTGCCTTAGATGCTTCCACAGTTCAGCAGGGGAGTGGTGTAGGGGGATGGTTATTGGATCTTTGTACACAAAATGAGACAGATGAACTCAGCCATCACTTGATCAGGTCTTCCAATCAATCAAGTACTCAACTTCAGGAAAAGACCTTTTCCCTGGACATTAGGACCTCCCTATGGCCCTGAAATTTGACAAACACTCTCATATTTTCAGCACATCCTAACAATACTCAAGTCCTTAATATCAATGGTGGCCATTCCAGACCTGCTCCAGCAGCCACACAGCCAAGTATGATCTCAGGTATTTTTCATAATAGCCCGAGCTAAGACAACATCCCTTATTCATGGATTGGAAGATTTAATACTGTTAAGATGTCAATTCTACTAGGTTTCCCACAGTTCTGGATGCTGGGAAGTCCAAGATCAAGGTGACAGCAGATTCGGTTCTTAGTGAGGGTCCTCTTCCTGTCTTGTATGTAGATGCCTTTGTGATGTGGGCTCACATGACCTTTCCTTGGTGTGTGTTTATGCAGTGATATTATATTGTCCTCTTTTTACAAGAGCACTACTCTCATTTGGAGGGTTCACACTCATGACCTAATCTAACCCTAATTCCCAAAGGCCTCACCTCCAAATACCATCCCATTGGAGATTAGGGCTTCAACATATGAACTGGGGGGGAGGGGGTCCTCTCTAAAAGGGAACATTTGAGCTAAGTCCTGATGGATGATGAGGTGGAGATAAATGTTCCTCAAAATCCATTGTACCTTTTTCATGGTAACAGAGCCCCTAAATTTTGGCTGGGTTATATTCTCCCATCCCACCTTGTAATTAGGTGTAGCCATGTGACTAAGTTCTGGCTAATGAGTTATACCTGGGAGTGCAATGAGAAACTTCCAGGAAGTCTCCTTAAGGGGAGCTAAAGGAATGGGCATGCTCTTCTCCTCTCCTGAGGATTTTTTTTTTAATTTTAGAAAGACAGGAGGATAAAGGGGGGAGGGGAAAGAGGGGGGGGGGAGACACAGGCACGAGAGAAACCATTCATTCCCCGTACATGACCCGGGAACGAACCCGCAACCTAGGTATGTGCCCTGACCAGGAATCAAACCCACACCTTTTGGTGTGTGAGACAACATTTAACCAACTGGCCAGGGCTCACCTCTTTGTTGCTGGAAGGTTGAAGCAGTCACAGCCACAGCCAACTTGGACCATGAAATGAACTTGG